CGTGGACGGCTGGGCGCTGACCATGCTGTCCCGCGAGAACGTGGGCTACGCCTCCACGTGCAACTCGGTGGGGCAGACGGCCGGCTACTTCCTGGGCAACGTGCTCTTCCTGGCCCTCGAGTCCCCTGTCTTCTGCAACAAGTACCTGCGCCTGCAGCCGCAGCCCCGTGGCATCGTCACCCTCGCAGGTACCGCCGGGCGCCCCCCGATCCCCGGGCTCCCCGGGGAGCGGGCGCTTTGCCCCGTCCTTCGCCCTGCTGGCGCTTCTCTCCTGGCCTGGTCACCATGGAATGGGCCATTGCTCTTAAAAAATGCTTTGTCTTCTGTTAAGGAGCTCTGTTGCGAGCCGCTTCTCCTGGGCCAGAGGGGAGGTCAGCAAGATTGAAGCTTCCAAGAGAGCATTATTCCCCAGAAAAGAAAAGCGTCAGGAGTTCAGAGTTAACTTAATCATGCTGCTGCTTCCCAAAAGAAGGGTTCATTTCCTTAAACTAAGGGGCTGGGGAAGGAGAAGGAGACTCTTTGTTTGTGGTCTAAATGGAGCGGGGTGATCAGACTCTACCTTTTGTTTAGGCTTCTTTTGCTTTCTGTAAAGGTTGTTTGTGGCTGTTGATGGTAGATATACTGCCTAGAAGGCACTTCAACGTGTAAGGTTGAGTGGAGCAAGAGAAACTTTCGGGAGGACTGGAAAACTAGCACCATTGCTGGCTGAAATTTCAAGGTGGCTGTAGTTCATAAGGAAGTGAATTTTCATGTTTCTGTTTTATTTTCCCCCACCCGTATTTCAATTACTTTCTCTGTGCTGTTTCAGTTACTCTCTCCGTGCTGCCAGAGAGAGAGGCCATGCCAAAGTTAAGTTGATTTGGGATGTAAAGCCTAGCCTGCCCCAGATCTAGAAAGCCTAGCGTTGCCTGTGCCAGGGCTGCCTCCCCCTCTTGCTGCAGTGGCAGCCTGACCTCCTTCACTGCTGCAATTTGCACGCTCCGGTGTGTTCAGGAGAGCTTCGTCTGTCTTCGCTTAGCTCTGCTGTTCAGGTCACCTCTATTATTACTGGTATTTTTTTTTGGCTTAGTGTGAATGTATTTGTTACCATTACAAGACCTTTTTTTAAAAAAAACTCTTAAGCCCACCAATGCACTACAAGACCTTTTTTTAAAAAAAAAAAACTCTTAAGCCCACCAATGCAACCTGTTTAACCTGTCCTGGGTGGGGTAAGAAAAGCAAGCAGCTCTGGCACTGCGCTTGCATGATACATATTTTTAGGGGTAGCTTTTTAGGGACTGTCCTGTCCCCTTGTCTGTGTGTCATGCTTCACCCTGCCATGTTTGTCCTGGCTCGGCTGTAGAGCAGTGCTGTAACCATCTCCCTGAAGTGACAGTGTCTTGTCCCAGCCCTGCTTGTCCTCAGGGCTCAGGGTGAGCTGGTTCAGGCAGGTGAAGCAGCGGGGAGCTCACAGTGGGGAAAGGTGAGTGTTCTTTTGCCAGCATTGCTCTCTGGACCCTTCCATCGCGGGCTGCGTGCCAGCACTAGAGAAAGAGCCTCCTCTCTCTCATGAGCCAAACCTCATGATCCTGTCAGCTTAAAGCTGTTGAGAAGCCACAACATCAGTTTTCCTGTTAGCCTTGGGGGAAAACCATGAACAAATGTAATACCCAGACTCCAAACAAAGTATCGTGTTACGTTATCTCAAGCTGAAGTTCTAGCGAGAAGAAAAGAGAATTGCAATTCATTGGGCTCATAGTTTGTGTACGTATGCTGTGCAGATGAGTTTAGTTTTTGTTTAGTTAGTGGCTGCCTGGTTTGTCCCGTAGCTCCACGAAGGCCGGTTCTGGCGTGGAGGTGGAGCGTGAGCGCGGGCAGGAAGTGATCCCACAGCCCAGGCCTCTGCGGGGAGGAGACGGAGACAGGCGGCCGCAGCACTGCTAAAGCTGGGTGCTGAAATAACCCGCTCTTCAATAACCCTTCCCAGCCCAGCCGTTCTCCTCGCCTGCTCCAAAGGCTTGTTTTGCACGCTGGCTTGTGCACTGCTACTCTAAAAAGACTTTAATTGAACTCTTCTTATATACAGTCTTAGCAAATCCAGCCATTATTGTAGTGCTCATGGGGCAGAGCTGATGAGAAATACTCATGTGACGATGCTCGAAGCTGTTTCTGGTGCAATCGTAGCACGGCTGTGTTATCACTGCAGAGACAGAGCTCAGGGCTGCTTTTACAGCGCAGCTCCTGATGGTGCTGTGTAGTTGTGATCAGTGTGACTCTGAAAAGGATGCCTTACTTAGGAAAAGCAAGCTCAAGTCATTTGATTCCTTCCTAAAAGAGGAGAGAACAATCTGGTAGCATTGGCTATGGTTCCTTCCTAAAAGAGAACAATCTGGTAGCATTGGCTATGTGGTGGTCTTGCTTTCATTGTACACTGGTGAAGGGAAAAGTGATTTGGAAGCAGCAGAAAATAGTCTTTTCCCTCTATTACAGTGAGAATGCTAAATTATTTCTAAAGCAGTCTTCCCGTGTTCTCCATGTTGTGCTTGTCATGCTTCCGTGAAAAAAGCTAATAATTGACTAAACAATCATCTTTGTCCTACCACCAGCTTTTGTTGCTTACTTTCAATTGTCTTGAGGCTTTTGAAGTTGCTCCCAACCAAGAAGCTAAAAGGCAACTCTGTCTTATTCTTTCCCTGTCACGAAGTGTTTTCTTGGCCCTTTCTTAGAGGTAAAAGTTAAAATTATCTTTAATTTGGCAGCTAACTAAGAAAATATTTGCCATGAAATATTAGTGTATGTGCTGTTACCGCTGACTTGAAACCCAATATTTAGAAAATACAATGTCTACTTAAAATACAGCACTTCAGTTAACAAAAATCCACTTCACGCAGACACACTTCAGTGACTCTTCACTTGACAACTGTAGGAAACATCATCGGAATTTCTTTACACTCATGAATATAAATCATTGTTGCCTTTGAATAGTAGATAACTGTTCTGTGCTTCAATTCTATGCTCACAAAATAGTATTTATGTGACTGCTTAATAAATTGGAGAAAGAAGACATTCACATTCTCCAGCCAAAGTTCTTCTTGCGCTGTCTTCTAACTACCAAACTCTTTGTCTTTATCAGCGTTTAATGGTTGTGATTTCTCAAAACCTTCATTTCTGTTCGTTTTCTCCTTCTACATTATTGTTGTATTAGTGCCCAGTACCCCAACGTGTTGTACAAAAACTGATGTTTTTCTTCTGTGTAAGATCTTGAGCAAACGCGTGTGACTGGGAAGAGCTGTCTCAGTTGTTGTCCGTGGCTCTGTGTGTATGTGTGTTCTGCTTCTCTCTGCTTTCAGGAAGGCCAATGAGTAACTTTTTATTACTTTAGTTCTCATTGCCAGGCTGTGAGCTTATATAATTGTGCAATAAGTGCTTTTCAGGTATTCGGTAACCTGTCAATAAAAGGTTGTTTGCTGTTGTTTATATATATATTTTTCCTTCAGATTTCCTGTTCTTTTGGGGAGCTGTGTTTCTAGTGACCACTACACTGGTTGCCCTTTTGAAAAAGGAAAACAAAGAATTAACGCCAACAAAAGAGGAGACAAAAGGTATCACTGATACTTACAGGCTGCTCTTCTCCATAATCAAGATGCCAGCAGTTCTCACCTTCTGTCTCTTGATTCTCACAGCAAAAGTAAGTAAAGACGCTTATGAATTCTTGTTAGCGGTGATGGCAGGGGAGTCTGGAAGGGAGCCCTTGTGGTGTGACTCCTTTACCTTTGTCAGTGGTTGTCATCAAACTTACAAACTTCCACATGGAATTTGGAAGCATAAATAGCTTGCATCATTGTGCTGGGTACGGTTGTACCCTAGAAAATACTCGCTTGAGGTGTTTTGTGTTAAACATATTGAAGAAGCTGATAGCAGTCTAATATTAACGTAATGCACGTGAAACGTGCATCTCTACATGGAGGCTGTTTGCGTAGCCTGCGGTTAAAAGCACACTAAGTGTTTCTCTTCACCTAAATCCTCCTTGCAGAATCTGCAACTCTGCAAACTAGGTTTCCATGGTTTCCAGTTGGCAGCCATGGATACCAAGGGATGTTTAAGGCATGGATATGAATAGCACTGCTATGTTTGATGTTTTTGGTATAGTTCTGGCACTAGTAGTAAAAACTGTGTAACTTACACCAGCTGTGTAAGTGCAGAACATACTTCAGGACTGATCTGGTAATCTGTTTCAATCATTATTTCTTCATGTTTTTCATATCAAGTAAGATGAATTGCTAGTCAAGCCGTCACTGCTTTCCTCAGTTTGTTTTGTTTAACTTCTATTGCAGGTCGGATTTTCAGCAGCAGATGCTGTAACAGGACTCAAATTGGTGGAAGAGGGGGTACCTAAAGAGCACTTAGCTCTGCTAGCAGTTCCAATGGTTCCTTTACAGATAATATTACCTCTGATTATCAGCAAATACACAGCAGGCCCCAAGCCACTGAACACATTTTACAAAGCTATGCCTTTTAGGTAAAAACAAAATACTTTTATTTCTGTAAAAATATTTATTTTGTTTGGATTAATATAAGATTTCTTTTGTAGACTCCTCTTTCAGGTAAAAGAGTATGTCAGAATTTCCGTGATAAGTTTTATTGTCTTATGCCTGGAGGATGATTCTTATGGAAATGCATGTAAAAGAGCAGAATGTTCAGTGTTTGCAGATAGGTATATGACAGCATTAAAGCTGTGCTCTTCTGCTCTCATCAAATGTTGCTGGTTCTTTATTCCTGACTGTTCTAGCTAGAATTGGGTCTATACCTGTAGACTTCGGTGCGTTTCCCAATGTAAGAGTGGCAGCTCATGTTGATGAGTCATTTGCCAAGTCTTAGAGGATGTTGCTTTATTCAGATACTTGGGAATAGAAGAAGCTGAATCAGGGCTCTGCAGACAGGGACGTTCCAGTTTTGCTAGTTGTTTGATATAGGAGCTTAACTCCATAGGAATTTGCCTATGAAATTCTAGAAGAATTTAAAGCAAATTAATTCAGAAAACTAACTAAAACATTGATTTACCAAAACATAGCACCATCTATTAAACTTAGCTTTTACTTTACTTTGTTCTTTTACAATAACCTATATTTCTCTAACAGAGCTCAGTTCAATAGCTGCTGTATAAAAAAAGCACATGGCTTGAATTACATATCTATCTAATTCCTGCAGGTTGCTCCTTGGACTGGAATTTGCTTTTTTGGTTTGGTGGACTCCTAAAGTAAGACATGAAGGAGGATTTCCTATATACTACTATGTTGTAGTATTGTTGAGTTATGCTTTACATCAGGTAATGTATACTGCCTTATACAGGGCAGGGGGGGCAAGAGGGTATTTCATGTCAACCAGCTGGGGGGCATCCAGGTGCTGTTAAATGCTTTTGTTAGTTGCAGTAGGAGTGTTTTAAGCCTCATCTGCTGTACTCTGGCTCTCCTCATTTAGTTTTGATGCTCTTGTCAATGTAACACCTCCCACTTCAGTGTACTGCACAGGAATGACATCAGTGAAGTTATTCTTAGTTGAACAAACTTGCTTTTGTTTCTTGGGCTGTTCCCCAAAACCATAAGACAAAAAGCATGATTGAAATGGAGTCAGAGAAATCCTAGTATTTTGACTTGAGTTTAGCAGTACGATGATAATCATGACCAGAGCTTGTGCTATGGATTGTGCAGGCCCATAATGTTATGCGATCCTGGTCCTACAAAATGACTCCCCTGCCCCAGGCCATTGTAGTAGATCTGACTTGAAGGCCTAGAAAGAAACAGCTCTGTCCAGAGCAGGCTTTGGACCAGAATAAAAATATTATGAAATGTCTTGAAAGTTTGTATGGGTTTTATTTATAAAAGTGTGTGAAGTGTTACCTATACGTAGACTTCCTCACCTGGCCTTGTTGTAATTTAATCTGATAAATTAAATTGTTTCTTCATACCTGAGGCTGGATCCATTTTGGTATGAGCTGAAACAAGCAGCAAAGCTTCTTGGTATTATGTAGTGAGATGGACTATAGACATAATTATTTTGCAATTTTAACCGAAAAATATTTCGGTTTAACTTTGCTAACTTCAGTAACCTTGTGGGGCAGTTTTTGTGAGGAGTTTGTCATTGGTAAGTGGGGAACCTTCCTCTTGAGCCTTTGTCCCTCCTCCACAGATCACCCTGTACAGCATGTACGTGGCAATAATGGCCTTCAACGCCAAAGTCAGCGACCCCCTCATCGGAGGGACCTACATGACGCTTCTCAACACGGTGTCCAACCTGGGGGGGAACTGGCCCTCCACGGTGGCGCTCTGGCTGGTGGACCCGCTCACGGTGAAGGAGTGCGTGGGGGCGCCGGGGCAGAGCTGCGCCGCTGCCGCAGCGGCCGAGGTGAGGCCAGAGCGCTCGCCGGTGCAGCACCTCCTCCTAGTGCCCTTCACCTCTGAAAATCCTCATAGGGCATAAGCCAGGGCTTAAAAAATCCCACTAACGGAGCTAATTATTCTGTCTAATAAAATTCTTTTCTCTGCCTACTTTTAATAGCTACCACTTACCAAAGATGTGTAGTTGTGTGGTGTGCACTTCCCCCTTGCCCCTTCCCACCCCTGTTTTTTCCTTCCCCTGAGCTGAAGTGGCAAGGTGGTGGTAGGTAGCACAAGCACCACACTCCTACCACGTTCCCTGTGGTGCACGAGGCCATAGTTAAACTTCCAAGCTCCCTTTGGGTTTGCTTAGGTGCTCTGTTTCTGGCAGGTCTGTCCCCAGAGTGCCCAGACTTTGTGGTGGTTTTGCTTCAGTGATTTGAGGTTTTCCGTTTGCTTTCACTCCTCCCGTCTCCTCCTGAAGGCCTCCTCTCCTGATGCCTTGCACTCTTCGTTGTGGCAGTTCTTTGCTTTCTGTCTCTGGCCTTCCTGGTCGGTGTGAAACGGAGCGGTGTGACTGGCTGCGCTCCCGGTTCTGGGAGCCCCATGGAGGAGAGCGGGATGTGCCGCGCGCGGCCCGGAGGACGCGCAGCCGCCTGGAGAGCAAGGTTTCACATGGGCCTCCGCGAGAAACCGTAACGTGCCTGGCTGGAGGGCTGCGAATGTTTGTTCCTTGCTGTGGCTGAGCCTTGGCTCTCTGGTGCCTCTGTGTATTTACAGGACTGTTGTAAGAGCCCTCAAAAAACAGATCCTCTAGATACACAAAGTGCTCAGAGTCAAATGCAGCTTGTTTGAAGTGGTGTTGCAGTTCCCTGCTTGCAGAAGGGAAACTGCCTCCCCTAACGTGCTGCTTCTGCGCGTTTGTGTCACCTTGTCACCTGCCGGGCTCCCAAGCGCGGCTGCCCTGGCCTCTGTTTGGCTTCAGTGCTCACTGCTCCGCGCTCTCCTCGCGTCCTTGCAGTTTGCAGTATTATGCACACACACCCCTCCTCGCTCTTCATCTGATCTTGACGCGTTTGAAAATGAAAATGCTGGCAGAGCCTCAGCTCCAAGGCTTGTGTTTGTCTTGGGAGCGTGCAGGTGTGGACTGGGAGCTGAGCACCAGCAGGGAGGCTTGGGTGCTGCTCGTGCTCTGGAGCTGCCTGAGTGCTGCAGCACAGTTAAAGGATACCCTAGGTGTGGATTTTTGCCTGTGCCATGCACTGTGGGCCACCGGGCCTTGTTCTAGCACTCATTTGCAGGCTCAGTGCAGGAGTGTGATTGCCGGAAAGCACTTGGATGGCTAGAAACAAATCGCTCTCGTGTGTGCAGTGATGACTGCAGCAGCTCTCCAGCCGAGGACATTGGGCCAGTTTCTCTTTCTTGGGCTCTGTCCCTGGGCCAATAATCTCTTCCCCAATGGCATAGAGTGTGTGTCGCCTTATGTACTAACGGGAGCTTGAAAGTCTCCTACTAACTCTGCAAGAAACAGACTAATCAAATAGCTCCAGGTAAAATGCTTAAAGCTCAAGTTAAAAAGGGTCAATATTCTAATGCATTCTCCCAGAGAGTAGGTGCTTCTGTGTCTCCCCCAAAACGCTTAAGGTGTCGATACTTTAACAAACCTCTCCCTCTGTGTTTCAGCTCTGCACAAAAGCTGGCGGCTCCTGCGTCACCACCCTGGACGGTTACTACGTGGAGTCTGTCATCTGCGTCATCCTGGGGTTTGGCTGGTGGTTTCTGCTGGGGCCAAAATTTAAGAAGCTGCAGGACGAAGGACAGTCTTCATGGAAGTGCAGGAGGACCAATTGATGCCCCTAAGAAATGCCCCTTAAATACTGGATGGACCAGCAAGGTCACTTTAGTTTTATTACAAAGACATATCCCATAATCAATAAACAGGAGCATAGGTATTTTAAATGCCAAATCGCTGAGATATGGGTGGCCAGGACAGTGGTACAGGTACCACTCGCCTTCGGTGTGAACACACGAGTTTGGAAGGTAACGGTGGAACACGTGGCACCGGTGCTGCCCGCTCTGGCTTCCGAGGCACGGCTGCTGCGAAACCGGATTCCATATACAACTATGGAGGGGTTAATTGTGCCACGTGTGTCAGCAGCAGCATTGTCAGCTAAGTTCCAGCTCTTAATTTTCCAAGAGAAGTGGCCTGGCACAGTGAGTTGATGTGGGGAAGGACATCAGAGGCATTTTGACTTGCAGGTTAAGCTTGTTGTAATACAGGATTCATCGTGGGAAGATAATATCTGTGGCTTTTTGTTTTTCCTTCTCAATTTATGGACTGTAAACACACTTTAAAGGATGAAATAATGTTTCAGGATTCTTTTAAATGTATTTTCTGGCTTTTATAAGCTCTAAAGATTTATAAGAAAATATTTTTATAAATGAAATTACACTTAATTTATTTCCTCTGTTTCAAAGCATTTTGATTTACATTCAGGATCAACTGAAGAAAAAGTGATGTAGGGTAGGACTTAAATTAAGAGTAACGCACAATCCTGTAAGGCTGGAGTCCCGCAGAGGCAGGCGGGGAAGCGCAGCAGCCAGCGCATGGAACGGCGCTCGTTATTCTGGGGGCACAAAGTGATGCTGTTCATTCCCATTTGTCCTCAATACTATTTGCATTCAAGTTCCAGAGGAGCGGAGAGCTCCCGGCGGGGCTGGCGCCCTGGGAAGGGGGCGGATGGTGACGAATTTGCCGAGCTCCGGGAGCCGCAGCGGGAAACCCGGCGGAGCCGCTGCAGGCGCTGGCACCCGGAACGTGTGCAGGAACCTTCCAGCACGTGGAGCAAAAGCAGCTTCCCGAGGAGCCCCCTGCCGCCGGGGCGCTCGTCTCGTCTGTCGCGTGGTCCGGTGCGTCGCTATTAACAATTAAAGTACCTTGGAAAGGTAGGGACGTTCGTTCATTTCTTTCCTCGGCCGCATTG